AAAAAAAAAAAAAAAAAAAGTGGGTCTTATTGACAAGGAAACTGAGGTCTCACGTGAAGTGACTTGCCCAAGGTCACATAGCAGCAAAGTCAAAGCCAGAGCTCTATGAAACCCTGAACCACAGTCCTCCCTTGTCTAAGGTATGTCTCCACACAGCGGCCTCCTGTGAGGGAGAAGAGCAGCCCTCCTACTGATGGCTGATACCCTTGGCTCAGAGAAGGATGCAGCAGGTCCACAGAGCAGGTGATACTTACCCGTGATGCTTACCCGTGATGCTACATGAGGAGTGGGGAGGCCAAATCAGGACCAACCTGTGGCATCAGAAATGGCAGTAGGGGGCCTTGCTTAGGCCCCTCCTAGGATGGCTTATGCACAAGGTTGTTGGGCATCTTGGCTTAACGTGCAAGAGACCCACTGCTAGAGGAGAAATCCAACTTGTGAATGGAATGGTTTTCCACATTAATTCCCAAACAAATGCATTTGGCATTGTGTTATGGGTTAAGATGCCTCTTCAAAAGTATTTCTGCTGCCCTTGCTTTTTAAAAAGATGTCATTGTCAATTTTTATTAAATAGAAGACAATCCTTCTTTTGCTTTGCTTTGCAAATACACAACCTAGAAGTGATGGCTCTGAAGCTCAAGAATACACTGTCATCATAATGACCACCTCTACAGCCCAGCTGTTCTTCCCCAGGAATCAATCATCCTGTCAGTCTATGGTGTCCTCTGCTCTTTTCCAAATGTTGTGGGAGACACAGACATGCTCGCTGCCTTCAAAAGGCATAGAGTCTGGGTGGGAGGCTAACAGGAATGAAGGAGCCCAGGAGAACCCCCAGATGCTCTACTTACGGTACTGAGCTTGGAAAACGGAGAGATCATTATGGCAGGTAACCAGGGATGGCTTTCAGACCAACTTGGCCTCACTCCAATCATGACCTAACCCGGTCACTGCTCCTCTTCTAGGCATTACTTCATGCTCTGTACCCATGTAAGAAGTGGTACGGAGCAACGGCTCAGAGAAGCCACGTGGCACAGATGTGAATGCCAGCCTGCCGATTGGTAGCTGTGTGACTCCAAACCTCTCTATGCCTCAGTTTCCTTAGCTGTAAAATGTGGACAATAATAATCACAATAACAATGATAACTACCTCCTAGGACTTATGTGATGATTAAATGAACCAACCTGTGAAAATCTCTTAGAAGGTACCTGGTACCCAGTACTCAGCTCAGTGAGTGTTAACTGTGTTGTTATTAAAATGTATGTGTCTCTGACATTTGTGTTTAACATGTGTGCTGTGTATGACTCACCTCCTTATTATATTGTAACCTCTGTAAGGACAGGAATAGTGTCCCCTTCTTCCTCATTTCTTGATTGCTTTTCAATGCTGTATATGCATGGCTATATATGCCATGGCTTTGGCAACCAGACATCCTGGATATTCCAGGACTGTTCAAATTTCAAAGATTCAGATGCAATTTCTGAACTGCAAAGTTCATATTTATCAGATCATATATCCCAATATGAGGTTCAGAAAAAAGTGGTCTCCACCAATGACTGTCATTGGCAGACTCTAGCAGCTTTTCTTTCTCTTGGCAGACCACGTACAGTGCTCTAGCGTGCACAGAAGCCCTTCTCCAGGGGCGGCCTGAACCCATGGTGCTTGGCAGCCAGCTCTGCTCTGGGTCCCTTTACCTCTAGATGCTTCCACTTACCCCTAACCCCACCCATAGAACATTTCCTTGGCTTTGATAAAAATCCAGCTGTCTTAGTCTGTTTTCTGCTGCTATAACAACATACCACAGACAGGATAATTTCTAAAGAAATTTATTTCTCAGTTCTGGAGGCTGGTAAGTCCAAGCTCAAGGCACCAGCAGGTTCAGTGATAACATCCACTGAAGACAGGGTCAGAATGACCCAACCAAAGGGTTGACAGACAGAGCAATGAAAGAAATTCTTTAAAGACCAGAGGAGAAAAATGAAAAACCAAAGTGAACTGAAAAAAAAAATTAACATGGAGGTCAAGGGAGAAAATTCCAGAATGACCATGGTCTCTGTGATATATTGCCTAAGCCTGTTCTTTGTGTTTGGAGCTATACAGTCCTAGGTCACTGGTTGAGTCTAACCTCACTGCTGTTCCTAGTCACTAAAAAACATTACCCGCTGAGATCCACTCTATGGTTTGGGTGCAATAGGGTTGGTAGCTTGTTTTATGAGGGCAGCCTCACAGGACCCTGGGCAGGCAGTGGGCGCAGGTGTACAGGGACTAGGCTCTAATGATGGAAAGTGCCCAGAATGCTTCGTCCAACCCGATGACTCCCTCAAACAGCAGTTTAGAAATTGTCCCTTTATGTCTGTGGCCATAACATGGCCTGATCTTGTCTGGGATCTCCAAAGCTAAGCAGGGTTGGGCCTCGTTAGTGCTTGGATGGGAGAAATTGTCCCTTTAATGTTAATACATGGCCCAGTCATGTGTCAATCCTGGCCCATTACATGTTGATGACTTTAGTTAGATAATACTGACCACAATATTTTTCTTCTTTTTTTTTTTCTCATTGAGACACTTGAATGGTAGGAAATGATTTCTCTTTTTTAGTGTTGGGTGAACATGTGTCATTAGCCTCGTATTTATCTCCATTAGTATCATTAGACTTGAAAACCCAGTTTAATCTGGATTCTCCTCTCTTCTCAATGTCAGCCTGTTTCTGGACCAGTACAGAGCCAGCCTTGTTGATGCAATAAAGAGATTACTCCAGCCCAGAGTGAGTATGTTTCTATTTTTCTTCTGAACACTGGCTACAGAATAATTAGTCTATGCACAAAGATGGAGAGAGTAATGGAATGGCAGGATTAATGTCATGTAATACTTTAATACTTATTATGTCCAACTTCAGTTGGGTCTTCTGATCTATCAGATTCTTTCCTAATCATAACCAGGAAACTTCTTACCCTTGGCCTTCTGATAAGAAACACAGTGGGTAGTGAAGTAAATGAAACTGCTTCAAAGATAGTGTGAGATTATTTTTATCAAAGAATTTCTTGAGTCTTTTCCTTTGATAACAATATCTTCATATTAAAGTAGAAGTATGATATTGAAAGTTTTCTGTTGACTTCTGTCATTTTTTAATCCCTTCAATAGTAACCTTTGTCATTGGGTATTTATTTATTGCAAAAGAATACTTTTTTCTTTTTATTTCTGTTTATATTAAAGAAAAAGGACTTCAGATGAATCTGTATATTAAAAGTTCTTTGCTTTAAAAGGAAGCCATTATTTACATATTATAAACATTAGGTCACAATGAAGCCAAGCATGGCATAAAATATTGTGCACATTTTTACATTTATATATCCATTTATGCCTGTGAGTAAATTACAGAGTTTGTATCCACTCTTATTTTGTTGGGCTGTTACACTAAGCTAGGAGGTCCTGCAGCCTAAACGGAGAGTTAATATGCGTCTATTTAAAGTAAGAAAACTAGTTTTAAGCTCATGCATTTAAAAAAAAATCTTATAAGTACATAAGACTCTTGCTGTGCCATGGGAATTTAAAATAGGTTAACAGTATTAATGTAATCTAAGACAGGAACTCACATTTATGCAAGAAGACTGCAGTGTGCGTGTATGTGCACGTGCACACGTGTATTTTCTAAAGTTTGTTTTTAAAGTGTTTTTTAAAAGAAGCTTTACTTTAGTCTTCTGACCTCAGTGAGACTTACAGACCAATACCTTTCAATCTTTCTTTTTATATCTTTTTCACATTGAAGGTTCCCAGAGCAATTTGATAATCATCCTTTGCCTTACACTGTTGCTTTTTATTTTGCTATCTCTGTATAGCTCAGAAACTTTAAATAGGCCCTCAGAGGAGTAACCACAGCTTTATAAGTGGCAATCAATTCAATTAAATTGGCCTTTTCAGTCTGGGTGAGGTGGCTTATGCCTGTAAGCCTAGTGCTTTGGGAGGCTGAGGTGGGAAGATCGCATGAGGCTAGGAGTTCGAGACCAACCTGTACAAGGGCAAGACCCCATCTCTACAAAAGATAAAAAAAATTAGCTGGGCATGGTGGTGTGTGCCTGTAGTCCCAGCTACTCAGGAGGCTGAGGCAGAAGGATCACTTCAGCCCAGGATTTTGAGGTTGCAGTGAGCTATGATGATGCCACTGCACTCTAGTCTAGGCCATAGAGCAAGACCCCGTCTCAAAAAAAAAAAAAATTGGCCTTCTCAGTTCCTCCTGTGAAGTCTTGGGGCAAGGAAGAGGCATGTCCCAAGCTGTTGATACCTGCTGCACGGTTGAGTAGGCAGCCCAAGTTGAAGGCAGAAGGAAGAATTTGGGCCTCTTCATCTCCCTGTTAGCCTTGGGTGATTCTTGTGAGCATTTGCATGACCACATTTTCAGGGAGGACACTGAGATTCTTGGATGTAAAGGCCTCTATGAAAATGTATCATACATAAATACAATGCTTTCAAAGACTCCTGGATCTCACACCGTACAAATAGTATTTCGCTCATCACCTTCAAAGCCTATTTGTGGCAAATACACTATTTTGCAGCAGATTTGCATGATTTACTTAGGATCTATTGTAAATCATTTGGATGATTCACAGTAGAAAACTGTCCAAGCTATGAACAGACCTAAATGCAGATTGGACTGGAATCTCTAGCAGCTCTTCTGTGCCCTCTAATAAACCCTGAACACGCTCCTCCCACCCCTGGCTGAAGTGTGGCTCCCACAGCAGCCTTCCTGCTGACAGTCAATACTTGCCTTAGCCCAGAGAAGGATGGGGCAGGGCTCTAGAGTAGGTGGTACTTACTCATGCTGTGTGAGGAACCGGAAGGCAAAATCAGAGGGGCTCACACCAACCTGCAGCATTGGAAATGGGAGGAGGGGTCTGGCTTAGGCCCCTGGTGGAATGGCTGATACCCAAGGCTGCTGGGTATTCTAGCCTAAAGTGTAAGGGGCCCACCATCAGAGGGGAAAGCCCAGCGGTGGATGGTGTGTGGACATACCAAAATTACCACCCAGGAAGCTCATCCCCGTCAGGAGCTCTGAGAAGGCAAGAATTTGGACTCCCTGGGCCTCCACCCAGATGGCCCATAGGAGAGTTGTGCAGGCTTTGGCAGTGAACCTCAGCAGTTCCACATCCTGTGCTGGTGGCCTAGAAGTGTTCCCAAAGCTTGGGGGTAACCGAAGGAAAAACTAGACTCTTCTTCCTCTTGGATGTCAGGGCTGGCTGTTCTGGTTCCAAAGCATCTCCCCCTGCTGAGTGTATGTACATGCGTGGAAATCACAGTCGAAGGCTAAGATAACATTCAAGGTTTTACTCCATTGCAATCAAAAGTTGTTTTAACGCTCTCTTGAGCTCAGAAAACTGCTCCATGGTTTTGTGGTCCAGAGGCTGAAGGTGCCACAAGAGACCTACAGAGAAAAAATGGGGGGGGGGGGGAGCGGTGGCGGGCTGCACTGGTAGATCCTGAGTTCTTGGTGATTCAGTGCAAATACAGCAAGTTCTCAGGGTATGCAGCAAAAACTGCTCTTCAGCCAGATGCTTCAAGTTCATAGCCTGGCTGCAGTTTCTGAAGATATAGTGCAGTGGATGGAAAGAGTCAGAAAAATCTGCTCACAAAGCCCAGATCTACACCTACTACCTAGCCTCTCTGAGCCTGAGTTTCCTCACCTGTGAAAAGGCCAAACTAATTCCTACCTTGTGGGCTGGTGTTAAATATTTACATATGAAAATGCTCAGCATGTGCCTGGTGCACAGGAGGCACTTGTAAGGGGCTGGTTCTTTTCTACTGCTGTCCACACTTATCAAGGTTAATACTCATGAGGGACGCTGGCCTGGCTGTCGGGATGCCTGAATTCCAGACCCAGTCTGACAATAATAGGGTCTGAAACTGCCTCTTGCCCCATTTTCCCCAAGGAGGGAGAGTAAGGGAGTTCTCCTATCTCTCATAGAGTTCTCTCAGCTCTAAAATCCTTAGTCCTCCTTGCAGAGAGAAGGTATACTTGAGCCCTGGAGGCAGAAAGGTTACGCTCAGATCTGGGCTCTGCAATTGACTGCATTCATGTCTGGGAGCCTCAGTTTCTCATCTGTAAAATGGGGCGTGAACAGGCCAATGCACTGTATTGTACCCGATTGGCTTTGCATATTTCTTCAATGTTAGCTCTTGTTACCTGGCAGAACTAGAGAGACTTTCTGACTGTGATGAATACAGACTAGAGGGGGGACTCTTTCTAAGCATTTTTCTTGGAGAAATGCTGGCAGGAGAGGAAGACACCATTTTCTTGACCTGGACTTTGAGAATTTCTGCACATTATTGGCATTCTGCATCTCCCCTGCGCACATGTCCTGAATACCTATAGCAGGCCCTGTGCTGGTGCTGGGAGGATTGTCTACCTGGATGAAGATGACACTTTTTGCTACAAACAGCCCCCAGAGAGTGAGGGGAGAGAGTACTACAACATCAGCAAGAGTGAAATAATTGCAACATGAAGGTTCAAGTGTCAAGCTGTGGAAAGAAATGAATTCTGCCATTTGAGGGAGTGTGGTGGTGCTTGATTTCTAGCTTGAGCGAATCAGTTGTTTGGGGTCAGAGGGTCCAGAAGCAAAGAACGTAGATGGAAAGGAAGGTGATTGAAGGGAAACAGGCCCCCAGCAAGAGCTTAGCCACCAGGGTGGGCTCCTTACTTGGCCCCAGGGCAATGTCAAATCCCAGCACTAAGCTTAAATTCTTGGCCACACAGGCACCTATTCTGAAAGTCATTGCAGAAAGCCCCAAGTTTCATCAAGGAATGCTTGCCACCACCTGAAATGGAAACTTTCCTCAACGTGCTGGTTTAGAGAAACTGTAAAGACAATTAACTCCTGCCAGAATACTACCAGGGACTCTAGCAAACTTCAAAGACGAAAAGAATAGAATAGATATTAAAAAGGAATGAAATCAGCAAATTTTACTCATTCCAAGAAGCGATGCTCCCCTCCCACTTTTCCCTGTGGTGAGTGGCTTCTTGTTACTGATGATTGATAGGGTGACTCTCTGTCATTGTGTTCCTTAAAGTCCGTTGACAACAGCAATGTGCAATATCAGAGGACCCAAATGTGATTTAAAATACAGCCACAGCAGCCTCCAAGTTGAACTTTTGCCCAGAAATGACAACCAACAAATGGTATCTACTAATATTCCTCTGAAATGGCTTTGGACAGAGGGAGGGGAGCCAAGGCGGCCGGGCAGCCTGAGTTTACTCAGGACCACAAGGAGATGTCTGGAGGTGCAGTACTGACAGCCCTCCAGCTTGTTATCACTGCTGACCAATTTTCAAGAATTCGAAAAGATCACACTGGAATTCATTTCACTTTCTTGAGAAACTGGCCCTAACTGACCATCAAATTCCTGGAGTCCTGCCTATATCCAAGAGTGCTATAAATGTAAATCATGGACTCTCGTTTTAGAAGAGCATTTTCATTTTACTGATAGACTTTCTCATCTTTTTAAAAAATCTAACATCTCTGTTCACCTCTGTACAGACATCTGCTTTTGCTTGTTTCAGGGAGATCGCCTTGTGTGTGTGGGATCAGTGTGGGGCTGGAGGACACTTGGGTTCTTGTCTGCTTGCTTGCTTGGAGGCCCAGCAGAGCCTCACCTGTTCTTGGTGCAAAGCTAGCTCACTTGGTCGTAGGAGTGCTCTTGAAACAGGGATTGTAGCAATGAGAGCCCCCCAGATGGTTTTAAGATGCACTGAGTATGGGTCTAGCCCTAAGAAGT